TCAGCCTGGAGCAGAGGAGGCTGAGGGGAGCCCTCATCGCTCCCTACAACTGCCTGAGAGGAGGGGGGAGCCGGGGGGGTCGGGCTCTGCTCCCAGGGAACCAGCGATGGGACGAGGGGAAACAGCCTCAAATTGTGCCAGGGCAGAGTTAGGTTGGCCATGGGGAACAATTCCTTCCCCTTGGGGCTGTCAGGCACTGGAAGGGGCTGCCCAGGGAAGGGGTCGAGTCCCCACCCCTGGGGGTGTTCAAAAAACATGTAGAGGTGGCACTTGGGGACATAGTTTAGTAGGCATGGTGGTGTTGGGTTGACGTTTGGACTTGATGATCTTAAAGGTCTTTTCCAACCTTAACGATTGTCTGGTTCTCTGAGCTCCCCGGGGGCGTGGGGACACACGTGCCCTTGGCACAGGCAGAAAGAAAGGAGGCACTTCCCATTTGGAGGGAGGGAAGAGGAACAGCGGCTGCTCGGAAAGGGGCAGAACCCTGAGTGTGGGTGCTGCCAGCATCCCCCTCCCTCTGCCCAGCGAGGATGCGCTCCAGCTTCCAGGGGAGGGGAGGAGAGGACGAGAGCCTTGTGGGGTCCAGGGTGCAGGCAGAGGGGGGGTGAGGAGGTCAGGGGGAGCTGGAAGCATGCGGGTTTCCTCACCTCTCCATTCTGACGAGCTCGTGGGCACCTGCCAAAGACAAAACAGTTGGCGTGTGTGCTGGCAGCGTGATGCCCAGCGTCACACCCAGACCCGCTGCCAGCTCCCTTTCCGCATCTCCCGCCTCACTCCCCAGCCCAGCCTCCTCCCTGCTCGAAACTGCAAGCCCCGAAGAAGGGGGAAGGAGCCCCTTCCACCAGCGCGGGGCAAGGCAAGGTCCCGCGGCGCTGCCCGGGATGCAGCCTGGCCCCGCTCGTGCCTGGATGCTCCCACCACCCGCCCGGGACGCCCTCCCAGGGCTCTGCAAAACACCGCCCTGGTGCTTGGCTGCCCCTGCATTCACCTGGGCAGCACCCTGCTATTTATTTCTTCATCCCCTTTGCCACAGCCACAGCAGATCCCGCAGCCCGTGCCGCCCGGCTGTGCTGGATGCCGAGCATCCCCAGCCGGGATGCGGGGCTTTTGGCCCAGACCACGCCAACAGAAAGCACACGGTGGAAACAACCTGTAGCTAAGCTGGTCCACCTTATTTTCTCTTGCAATGCCAGTAACAACCTGTGCTTCTCTGGAGACACCCCAGAAGCAAGTCCCCCCCTAGATTTTGCCTTCACTCTTGGGTGAAACAGCATCCAGGTGATGCTTTGCAGCACAGGGAGGGAGCTGTGCCCCGGCACCACGGATGCATGAAGGCACGCGGGCAGTCTTTTCAGCTGGATATCGAAAGCACAGTTCCTGTTGCTTGTGGCTGACACCGTATCCACTGCTGCTGCAAGAACCACTTCTCCAAAGGGTTTGCTCAGAGCCACCCAGCCGCCCACTGAGCTCGGTGAGAGAAACCGCAGGGCCCCTGGCTTGCCCCCGGGGCCTGACGAAATGGCTCTGCCGGTTCAGGTGGTGCCCCTTTCTGCTTGATTACCAAAATCGCTGCCAGCCGAGCACGGGCGGGAGCCGGCAGCCGGCAGCACCGCGGCGCTGCCTGATTTTTCTAGCGGGGAGTGGGGTGGCTGGCTGCAGTCCTTATTGCCGTAGTTAGAAATGCAAGGGGTCTTTTGAAAAACAGAGGTGGGCAAAAGCACAAATAATGCTTTTTCAATCACTCGAGAGGCAAAGGTGCCGTTTCGGCTGCGCGGTGGAGGGAGGGATGAGTAAATGAGCCGGCTCTCCCAGTGGATGGGGAGGAAAGGGCTCAGTGGGGAGGGGGCCGGGTAGCACCTCTGCGGCCCCAGTGCCCCCCCAAACGCTGCCAGGGTGCCCTGCAGGCATCGCAGGTCCCTCTCCTACCCCACACTCCTGCACGCTCAGCCCATCCCAGCACTGCTTTGCAGGAGGCACCCAGCAGGGACCTGTCTTTGGGCCACCTCGCACGGTGCCCGTGGGACAGGGGGCTGCCAAACCCACTGACCCCGGGCGGGACACGTCCCATCCCACAAAGGCCCCACCAAGGCGGCCCGGGAGGTGAGATGGGTGGCGAGGGGAGGGTACGTACGTCTGCTGCTGACCGCTTGTCTCTGCTTGTAAATCAGGAGCAAGATGAGGGGCAGGCAGAGGATGCCCACGATGCAGGCGCCCGTCAAAAAATGATATCTGCAACAGAAGAGGGCAGAGCTGGAGCGGGCGGTGGGGAGGGTTCCCTTGGTTTCCTCGAGCCGTAGGAGAAGTACGGGGCAACACCGCGGCATTGCCCCACGCCTGATGCAACGTGGCTCCCGCACGCACAGGGGGTCCGCTCCTAGCGGGATTCGCACCGGGATGCATTCCCAGCTGCGGAGATAAGCTCTGAGGCATCGGGTTAGGACCTTGACCAAAGTCCTTCATTGCTGGAGGACATCCCAAGGTCTTTCTTGGGTCTTGTAGATATGAGGAGAGAAGCAGGGACCCTGGTGAAAGGCCTTGGAAGTCAGCAGAAAGGCCCACCGGAATGGCCGGCAGCCCTTGGGCATGCCTGTGGCCATCAAGGTCCGTGTGGGATGGCTTGCAGCAGGGTCAAGGGCTGCCAAAACGAAGGGCAGGTTCGGTTCGAGCTCTTCTCTCCTGTGCATCCATCTGGGCAAGCAGCCTCTCGCTCTGCGTGTGCTTGGCAGGGGGTGGGGGGGATTTTTTTTTTCCCCTTTTTTGCCTGGCAGGATAGGTTATCCCAGCCTTTGGGACTGAGGGTCTGAGACTGCTCGTGGGGAGGATGGCTCCGTTCCCTCTGGCTGGGCTGGCCCCCATCGGCTGCAGACTGATTTTAGCCAAATCTGCCCGTTTAGCAGCCAGCAAACAGGGGCTGACAGAGCGACCCTCGGAGAAACCACCTGCAAAGCAAAGTGGGGGCACCTCCAGCGTCCAGACACGGCGCCGGGGCAGCCTCACGTCGGCTGAGCGCTCAAGCAAGATTTGGGTTTCCCCTGCTACAGCATCTCTGCCCGGGGAGAGGTGGCACGGGCTCGGGAGTGGGCTGCTGCAAGAGGTTCCCGCGCGTCTTCGCCTTCCTGCCCCTCCCCATCTGCTCGTGGCAGCGGCTGCTAAATCCCCCCCATAGTGGTTTGGGAGGGGGGCTGAGGTGCTTTATAACCGCGGGGTGAATGGTCACCACAGGCATCAGGACAGCCACAAATGGGTGACATGGAACCGTGGGCCAGAGGAGGCTGCCCTGCCCGCAGCCCGAGGGCATGCCTGTCCCCATGGGGCCAGCGGCAGAAATCGCCCCCCCAGCACTCGGCCGCGAGGTTGCATTTGGGCAGCGGCGTGTTTACAGCATGTGGCCATCCCCAGCGAAATGCAATGGCCAGGATGGTGAGCATTCTGGGATGGAGAGGGGTTGGGGTTGGTTTTTTGGGGTTTTTTTTCCCCCTTTACCTTTGCTGGTGGCAGTATGAAACGTGCAGTTCTGAAGCCCTCCTCTGCCTGCGGAGGAGAAGAGAAAAGCACGTTAGGTCTCGGGGGATTTGCGCAGGTACCACAGAGCCCCCACACCTGCAAGCTGCGCTCGCCTTGGCTAGCTGGTGGTGGGGAAACCAGACCAGAGAGTCCCAAAAGCAAGAGTTTAATTCTGGGAAGCTTACACCGAGAGGTCGAGGGAGGTTCTCCTCCCCCTCTGCTCTGCCCTGGTGGACCCCACCTGGAGCACTGGGTCCAGTTCTGGGCTCCCCAGTTCAGGAAAGATGAGGAACTCCTAGAGAGAGTCCAGAGGAGGGCTACAAAGATGAGGAGGGGACTGGAGCATCTCCCCTGTGAGGAAAGGCTGAGGGAGCTGGGCTTGTTCAGCCTGGAGAAGACTAAGAGAGGGGATCTCATCACCACGTACAAATATCTCAAGGGTGGGTGTCATGAGGATGGAGCCAGACCCTTCTCAGTGGTGCCCAGTGACAGGACAAGGGGCAATGGGCACAAACTGAAACATAAGAGGTTTCAGCTGAATATGAGGAAAAACTTCCTCTTCTACCTCCTTCTCTGG